AATAATATTGAAGAGACAATGCAACACTAACAATTAAAATAAAAGTCTAAAAATTTTAAAATTACCTAAAATAGTAACTATGACTTAAAATAGAGTATAAAGAAAACTATTTGAAAAAAAATAAATAAATAAAATAATAATAAACGATGCGTCTTTGATTTAAACTACGCAGTTCGAATGAATAAATAGAAATTTTTAAAAGAGTTATTCGAAAGAAACTATGCAACGTAAACAATTAAAATAAATTCGAAAAAGAAAAAAATTGCTTAAAACTAATAACAATTATAATTAAAAATATAAGATAAAGAACATTAAGACACAATAACACGCCGAATAAATACTAATTCAGAAGTCAAACAACAAAAATCAGCGTTAATTCACAAAATTTCACAAAATCACTAGTCCTGTGAAAATTTTGTGAATTAATGCTGATTTTTGTTGTTTGACTTCTGAATTAGTATAAAGAACATTATTTGGAAGAAGGAACGATTGAGTCTTTTTTTCCTCTCACGCACTATATAAAAAAGGAAATGAAAATAGGTTGCCACATATTAAGAAGTTCGCCAAGTGAACTAATTTTGGCGCAAAATGAATAAAAAGCGCCAACATAAATTGTTGAATTTTTCCGTAAATTTCGCACCAAATTTTACAAAATTTAATATTTAGGCATAAGTCGTAGAATCGAAATATGTAAAAAAATTGATATGTTATTTCAGAAAAAGTCCGATTTTGTGTCAAAATACCTATGTTAGAATAGTGCTATATATAAATCTAATATATATCCTAAGTCGCGCTTTCGAGACGAAGGCAATTCGAGTTTCGTGAATCGGCCCAATAAAACAAAAGATATAGAACTGTCTTTTTTTTTTTTTTTTTTTTTTTTTTTTTTTTTTTTTTTGAGCAGTGTACGTATTTCGCATAACTCAAAAACGAGTAGCCTCAGAGCGTTGAAATTTTGTATATAGGACTTTTTTATATAGATGTACACCTCGTATTTTGGTTGCAATCGGCCGCACCAAACGTATATAAATATATTTATATATATATCCACTCTGTTACCCGGCTCAGTGATCTCAGTTTCTTTACTCTTATATGTTTGTAAATTGTACATTTTTTGCTTTAAAAATGATTGAATTATGTTGTTCTTATCTTCCGGTTAAGGGTTGTATGCCTTTAGTAAATCTGAATGCAATATAATTTGAATTATCAACAATTTAAAGTTGTTTAAGTGCCGCTAAGCCTAATAAATTTTTTGATAGCGGCCATTGCTTGTTTACATTTGAAAAGGCAGGATAGTGGATTTGTTGCCAATCTAGAGAAACTTAGCTTGGCAACAACAAAAATAACACCTTCATTTATTATTGCGAATTAAATCATGCTTAATCAATCCTTTCTGGAATTTTTTCGAGAAAATAAGTGTTTAAGATTTACTTCGTAATTTTTAATACAGATATTTTGAGTTTTTATGTATTTTTGCCTTGTCACTAAGTGAGAACTGAATTAACTGAATGAGAAATACTCAATCGTCTGTGAAAAACTGTTTCTTTTTTGTTTTGTTTGCTTAATTTCTTTTATACATCGTTCTAGCTTTATTATAGTATTTGAATGGAACATGTGGCAACGATTAGATAATTCTTTAAATGATATCAATTTTGTGCATTCTGAGTTATAATATGAACGAAATATAATACTGTTAAGTGAACCTAGCGCCAGAGTGTCGCTATGGTAAACAAATAGAGTGAATTTTAAAGAATGCATTTATTCTATTGTGGTTTATGCGCTATCGGTGAAGTAGATTTGATTTAATTCAATCCAATAAGTTTAAATGAAATACAAGAAAAAATGCGTATAATTTAATATTCCGTACAAGGAAGTAATGTGGTGTACACATCATATTTTTAAATTTAAAAACAATAAAACATGAATCTAATAAAAATATTTCTAAACTTTTGTTGATAGTCTAATTGTTATGTGAAGTCCTTTGCATAATCATTATGTGTGCATGCTGTTTGTTATATAGAAAAAAGTAACAGTCGATTGCTATAGGTTATTAATTATATAACAGAATATATAATAATTAATAACTTATGGTAATAATTAATAAGCATTTCCATAGCAATAATGGAATAAAAAAGTACCAGAAGAATCAGCAGAAAATGGCTAATGTGAAATTTTATGCCTGTGCTCTCAATTAATTTCCTGTGCCTTACAATTAATAGTTAAAAATAGTTACAATTAATGGTAAATATAATTGTAATTAATGGTTTACTGTATTTCTAAATCATGGTTCAATATGTCTCCAAATTATGGTTCCATATGTCTCCAAATTATGGTTCAATATGTCTCCAAATTATGGTTCAATGTATTCCTAATTCACGGTTCAACATTCTCTAATCATGGATGCATGCCAATTCATGGTTCAACATATTACCAAACAATAGTTCACTCAAAGCACCAAATTGTGGAACAACATTTTACCAACTTTTGGTTGCGACGTTTTTGGAACCGTAATTTGGTGAAACTTCAGTCCAAATTTTTTACAGTGTAGGATTTCTGAGTACGCGCGTTTGCCTTTGGGCTACGTCTCTCTAAGCTGTTGTTACGCTCGGCGGTATTACGTGCCCTTAATAGTTCGCCGGCTAATTTAAGATTACGGGCCAACTACCGTAGAACTGTGTTAGCTTTAGTTAAATCTCTTAGTTAGTCATTAGTTAAGTTCTTATTTCTTACTTTTGAGTTTATGCCTAAGTGGAGGCTTTGCTGTACGCCCAAAGAAAGGAGCCGACTGTTAATCTTATTTTGAGTGAATAAAGGGTATTTAACCTTTTTGGAGTTTACGCTCTCTGTTCTTTGAGCCAGACGATTATTCGCTTAGCAGTTCCCTAGCTTCTTCGACACTTAGTTTAACAGAATAAAAGTGAGGAACTGTATAATTTTTTATCAAATTAAATGCGCTTAAAACAATTTTTTCTTGAAAACAAAAGTCGCATTGTCATGGGACAGCGAAATCCTCAAATTTGAATTATTCTATGATAAATTTTAGTATTTTAATCAAATTAAGTATGTTCGAAACATTTTCTTTTTGAAAACTAAAATCACATCCATAATTAGTTATTAACTTAATTGGCATGTTCTAATTGAATAAAATACTAAACTCTATACCTAAATTTCCAGATTCGAATTATTCCATAAGTGACTGTAGAAAACTTTGATCAAGTTAAATGTTTGATTTTTTTTAATTGAAAACAAAAGTCGCATCGATAATTTGTTCAACATTTTTACAAAATTAAAAATATTGTATGTGCTTACGGCTTTGCAATGGATTTGGAAGCACATAAAAACGATAATAGCTTGATAATATTTATTTTCCCAAAAGAAATACTTTACAATTCTGGGAATTTTCCTATATGTCTTCGTACGGCTCTTCTCAATATGACACAGCACAAGTAGTAGTTACCACGTCAAACTACTAAGAATGTTAAACGTAAGGAAATATAAAAAGAACCAAATACATAAGCTCGCACAGTTCTCGATTCTCTCAATATTCTAAAATAAATTCTAAACTAATCTAAACTGATGCTCTCTCTGGTCTTATATAGATTTCCTCTCTTCACCGAGAAACTTCTAGTACCTTCGATTTTTCGAAATTGTTGGAAGGCATACGCAGTTACATAGGGGTCGGACCAGTTACAGTTGCATAAGTAGACCAAAATGTCGGCAAATTTGGTGATTTTTAACGATATGTTTATAAGGATCCGAAGTTTTACTAACGTTTATGTTATTTTAAAACTTTACTATCTTTCTTATTTTCCACTTCCGACCAGAATTAAATGCTTTAACTTGTTTATGCAAATTGTACTTGCTAACGCCCAAGTATTTAAGTTGTGGCTTTTTGCCAAGAGTTAGAGAGAGAAGAGTAAGTGAGCCGCCTTGCCACTGCATTCTTACGAGTTCTCAATCAGTTGCTGCTTGCCTTTAAGGCCAGAGGTTTAGCCTTCTTGATATCTAAAACGTATTGTAGTTTCAGCAGTTTGAGTACTACCTACGTAACCTTTTAAAAAGGCCACTCTTAGTGTTAGTCATTTGTATACTAATTCAAAGTTAACTTTTAGTTAGAGTTTTTGTTAGTAGGTTTATATTTTTACGTTTAGACCACAAATGGTTGGTCTTTATCCCGTAGTACAGAGACCTGTAAAGTAATAGAGAATAAAGGGTTCAGTATACCCTTCCTACTTGTGTCGTCTATTCCACACATACTGGAACATAGCTTTAGTAAGCTCTGTACTCCTATTCAGGATACGTTCTGTTTCCAAAGCAAGTAAAAAGACATACAAGTCCTGATATCTTGCCTAATGTGGCGACAAAATTAGTCGCCGAAACTATTGCCAGCTCGCTTACGTTATTTACTTGAATATTAAATGGACTTACTCCTGTAACCCTGTTTTTCCGGCGATGCCTCACACTTTTGAGGAATTTCGTATTAGATTGCACAAGAGATACTACAATTACATTTAATTTCATTTAATTTGTTTGCATATATGTAAAATTCGTACTAATATCATTAACATTTTAAAAACGAGTATTTCATATATCAGATTTGAGCCAATATGATCATTCAATAATAGGTAGTTGAACTAGAATGCAGTCAGTCATATCCGTTCCGTTTTGCTATAAATAGTAAAGTATAGGTAAATTTTAATAAGGCATAAAAAGTATACGTAAGTTTAAATAATATAATTTTTTGTAATTATATATTAAGCAATGAAATCATTCTCAGGTAGCTGTGACAACAGTTTTTTATGAGTTTCAATATTACTGATAATGCTATCTACAAATGTTGACTCTTTCTTCTAAACACTGCTAACAATGTGATAGGCAACCACCTATCAAATTCCAGCAGCTTTACGAAATTTCCCCAGGTACTGTACGATAATTCCCTACTCAAGGGTGAAAAAATTTCCCTCCTCTGTGTTAAAATCGTCTTTTTATCTTTCACGTTCCATTTACCTTGCATGCTGAATAGCAGAATGCGCTACCTTCAAGTGATTATTGTTCTCGCTTCCCACAATCATCTTTAACCGGTATAAAAGTCGCCTTTTAGTGTTTAATTTTCTGCGTCTCATAATCTCATATTTCAGTACCGTATTATTTGCACAATATATTTTCTTTTTACTATCAAAATATTTAAATTTCTATTCATGGTAAGCACTTTTTTTATTGTTTATAATTTATTATTGTTATCTGCAATTCTAATTTGTTTGTACCATTACTTATATTTTATACTGCGATAAAAATTCAAGAAAAAGAATTTTTATAGAATCCGAGAAAGTTCTGTAAATAGAACATTATATGTTTATTTAACTTAATTTTTTTTAGGTTCCATAAAAATTTTTCTTAAGGTACTAATTTTCCATATTAGAATTTAAAAATAAAAGCTCCTTTAGGATTTTCCCTAAGTGATGTGTTCATTAACACAGCAAAATCGTTTTCAGTATGTATCCTCTATTTAAGAGTTTCATTAAGAATTGTAAGTCAAAACGACCACGAAATCTTTCTTTATTTAACAAGTAAGAGAGTTTTGTTTAACTGAAGTAGAACGCAAATTAAATTAATATTCGTCACAGATATTTAAAATTTAAATGTTGAAAAAAATTACATACGCTTATTCATCAGTCATAAATAGCTTCAGGATTACCTATTAGGCAATAGTTACAGAAAAGACAAGACCCAAGATGGGAGGTAATATAGCTGAAAGGGAAAAAAAAACTGAGTTACTGGATACTCTGGAACTCAGGGACAATGCTTCCTAGTTTTATTATGCAAAAGAAACACAAATTTATTCTAACACTAAAATATAGCATTTTTAAGCATTCCTTACAATTTATGAGTCTTTCTAAAGCATAGATGAATCACTTTTATTTAATCATAGACTGTTATTTAAATATGTGAAGATATTTGTAAGCGAAATTAACTTTTTAGTGAACCCTTATTTCGTGATGTCAAACTTCCCTTGTGAAATATTTTATAGAGGCTGATAGAGCTTTCTGAAAATTCTGAAAGAATGTTATATGTAATCCTCTATATAAATATTTATAAAATTCTGTAACAATTTATCTATAGAATTCTATAGAAATACTGCTTTTCAAAACGATACAGAAATTTTACACCACCTTTCTAGAATGATATTTACAGAAATCTGCAATGGTTTTAAACCGTAATCAAAGCAAATTTGAAGTTTCTGATGCATTTTGAGGGACATAGAAGAGCAAAAATTAGCATTTTTATTCTTAAGTTTTGAATCATTTTTGAATGGTAAATTTTGCGTTCTTTTTTCTAGTTAAATATTTTTTATCTTTTAAATTTATGCGACATTTTGCGCAATTTTTTGTACAGTTTTGGTTATATAATAGAAAAATTAAGTCTTGTAAATGTGTTGAATAAATTTAAGCTATAAAATTAAGTAAAAGATTAAATTTAATGTTATTAGTTATAAGATTTTAATTAATGAAATAAATGCTATTAATTATTGTGTATGTACCCATAAGCTAAATCGTTTCTTAATTTTAATTAAACTTCATTATTATTTAACATGTATTTATTTTTATTTAAATATTTTTTTTAATTAAATTGATGTTAAAATTTTTTTGTTAGGAAAATGAAATCATGTCTATTTCAAGATTTTGTTCTAATCTCCATATCATTGATCATTTCAAAATTTAGACAAAGTTAAAAAGTTCTACTAAAAATCAAAATTTATTTCATTTTTTTTAATTCCGAAAAAAAAAAAAAAAAAATATTGTTGATTTTATATTGCTTTCGAGCTTTTTCTTGTTTCTATGGGGTTTTTATAAGAAAACGGACTATCTTTACAGAACACTAAAGAAGCTGTATCTAAAGTTTTATATAAATCTCTAAAAAATCTTTGACCTAGTTTTATAGAAAATTGGACTATTATTCTAAGGGATTCTGAAAAAGATTAAAGCTGAATTTTTTATAGATTTCTATAAGAAATATTCCATTTTACTAAGGAATATGACAAACTTATTTCTTATATAATGGAATTCTACACCTTTATCTATACCACTATCTAGTGATATCATCATATGCTACTGAATCGTAAAGCTGATGGATATAGTGTGAAATATCTGCAGTTATACGTACTCAATAATAGTTAATTACACAATAATAGTCAATCGCTTTAGTTAACTGACTAGTCGTAATTAACTATCACCGTAATTCCTCGCGCATTTTTCTTCCCCCCCTTTTTTTAGCTAATTTTATCGCAAGAAAATAAAGAGGGGAAAATTATGCGAGTCTATTAATTTCTGAAGGACGCAGTTACAGTAAGATCATAACAAATGAAAAGTAGTCATGGATAAAATACTGGTAATTGTAACAATATTATTTCTTAAAAAAAAAAAAAAAAAAAAAAAAAAGGCTGGTGTGTACACCACATGACTTCCTTATACAAAATATTAAATTATACGCAATTTTTCCCGTATTTCATTTAAACTTATTTCCTCAAATTTAATTATTCAATTAATTCAGCTCTTTTTTCGCGGCATGGCAAAAATACGTAAAAACTCAAACTATTTTCATTAAAAATTAAAAGATATAGAAAAACATAAAAGAACAAATAAAGTTAAAATAATTTTTTAAAAAAATTAAAATTAAAATTACAGTTTCTACGCAAAAACAAGCAATTCGGCCAGCAGGCAAGAAGACAGACTTTTCGGTGCATAAAACTGAAAGTTTCCTTTTGGTCCCACTCGGCAAAAAGACTATGAAGGTGCAGAAAGATTTAATTCACTCTTCTGCTAAGATTCAAATGTAAACAAATATGGCTGCTATGGTAAAACATATTAGGCTTAGTCGCACTTGAAAAACTTTTAAATTGTTGATAATTCTACAACTATTACATGCAGCTTAACTAAAGGTATAAAACCTTAACTGGAAGATAACAACAGCATAATTCAATCATTTTTAAAGCAAACGCGCACAATTTAGCAATATGTAAGAATATAAAAAACTGAGCTCACTGAGCTGAGTTACAGAGTGAGTATATATGAGTTGAGAAAAGTTGAAGATGATGTAAGAAAATAATGAGCTCAGTAAATAAGGAGCAATCCTTTTCCAACACAAAAGAACATTTAATAATATAAAAAGCTGCAGATAAAGTTAGGATTTTAATAGTGGATTAGCGCCTTATCGCGCAAGATGAACACAATGTCAAAACAGTAACTCAGCGCCTACTCGCGCGCGCGATCAGAACAAAGTTATTTTTTTATCACCTGTCTTGCACTGTCTGCAGTTGCGCAGGCGATGAGTTTTTCCGGTCAGGTGATGCCCTCTGGTGGCTGTAGGACTTACTGATACTACATATATATATATTTATATATTTTTGGTGGGAGCGATTACAACCAAAAAGGGAGGTTACAACTGCATGTTATACCAGTCCTATTCACAAAATTTCAACGTTCTGAAGCTACTCGTTTCTGAGTTATGCGGGATACATTCATACGTACTAACGTCCAGACACCACGAAAATATCCCTTCTGAATACATAATCAGTTTTATAATTCATTTGGGAAAAAGAGTCCTTTATTCTGTCCTTACATACAGATGTTACGCAAAAACATTATTAAATTGCATTCGATATCGTCAAAATGGATCATTTCATTGAAATATATAGTAGCTATAATATATATTGAAATATATATTGAATAATATATATTGAAATATATAGTATTCGCGATTACAATACTTCCTTTCCTTCGCACAAGGAAGTAAAAAGCATTCCAATACAAATGCATAGTAATATTAACATTGCAATATCTGACAGTTATTAAGCCGATATCTGACAATTATTGAGTCAGACACATCGCACGGCTCAGTTACCTTGTAAAGCCGCAAGGGCACCTCACATGACTGAATCTTGAAAAAGACATCGGAAGAACAAAGGACAACGAGTCGAACAAAAGAGCTGGATTTCGAAAAATCTAACATATTGGCAGTGCATAATGCTACAATGAACTGGAACTTAAATAACAGAAATAAAGTGAAATCACATAATTGGAAAGTTTCTTAAGAGTAAGAACATCTGCCACGTCCAGGAAGATTCATGAAAAATCTGCACAAAATACGTTTCATATGATAAATGCAAGTGAAAATGAAATGCATGAAGTACTAATGCAAAAAAAGCAAATACAATTTGAACACACTGAATACAAATAAAAATTATTGAGGGAATAAATACAATTTACCAATAAACTAGACCTCAGAGGGAATAACCATGTACAACAGAGGAAGGGGAAAACTGTGCAGATATTTTTAAAATTTTCAGAACTTTAGCATTAAAAAGCTAGAGGGAAAATATGTGAGGAAATATGATATATCAAATATTCACTATTATATGTTGTTGTAATTAACTGGCATGATAACATATCAGTTATTATACCATACAAAAATAACTTTTACAATTACTGAATCGTATGATTACGAGGAATAGTGTTGACAAGCAACATCCTGAAAACCTTACGAGGTTTCACTCTCAATCCAACTGAGCATATAGCGTTGCTATGAAATTTTATACAGGGTGATCGTAAATGCTTAACCACAATAAATACTGGTAATAAATACTGGATAAATACTAGACTTAATGTTATACGGCCGTATTGTTACTTGCTTGCTATTATACGCCGATGATCTTAAATAAGTGCCAATTCTGTGCAGCTTATTTTAGTTAGTATTAGATTAGTTTTATGTTTTCTATCTTGAGTTAAACTCCAAGGGGAGGCTTACAGTAAAAAGTAAACTTTTCATTTACTTTGAATTGGAATTAAGTGTAATTTAACCCTTCTTTGGACTTCTCACGTATAAGAACTCAGTGACTAGTCGCTACACAGCTCTTCAGTATTCCAACTGTCAAGGAAATTCAATTAAGCTAGAATATTACAACCTTATAAAATACGTAAAAAGAGGAAAAGTGGTTTATGAAACAAAGAAAATTATACATTATTGCATATTCTGAGCGGCAGGTAAACGTCAAAAAGTGTTCTCACCTAAAAAATAAACAAAACGGAGAGATATCTCTTATCAATCCTATCGCATGCATGTTCATTGTAAAACGTTATCCATTGTATGTTATCTCAGTTACAAGTTATTCCTTAGATAAGACAGCTGACTTTTTTTTTTTTTTTTTTTACGTTTTTTTTTTTTTTTTTTTTTTTTTTTTTTTTTTTTTTTTTTTTTTTTTTTTTTTTTTTTTTTTTTTTTTTTTTGTTTTTTTTTTTTTTTTTTTTTTTTTTTTTTTTTTTTTTTTTTTTTTTTTTTTTTTTTACTATTTTTAGGCTGGTGCGTGACAAAATGGCTACCTACAGAAAATGGGATCATTCGGAAATTCATCTCTGTACATTTTCATGTATGTATGATATCTAAAAATTACATCTCGATTAATCAAATCTCTGAAATTTTTTTCTACTGTATAATGACATTTTTAGTCCACTTTCTGTCATTTAGTTTTCATCTCTCCTGCTTTTTTCAGTTAACCTAATGTCTCTACAGTGGCGCCCGAACTAAAAGGGTGTTGTGGATGATGATTGGACCCGATTTGCCCCTAAAAAAGTTGCCCTTTAAAGAAGGAGTTTATAAGGTATTTCTCCCACCTTCTTGGCGTGCTTTCGTGGTGTAGTGGTTCTGCACGCTGGGTTGGTATTCCAGAGGTCCGTGTTCGATTTCCGGCGAAGGCGTTTGCTAATTTTTCATCCTTCCTGCTCCAAAAATTCCTAATGTCTCTACAGATGTTAAAGCTCAAAACAACAAAACAGTAGAAACTTGCGGTCATGATTAATATAAATATTCATTTTGTTTTAGTTATGCATTTTGCGGCCACAAATATCTTACTCCAACTGCGCCTGATTCAGAACGTCACATTTATATTTTTGATATAATTGCGGAAGGAAGAGAATAGCACCGCAACGTTTGAACAGCAACAGAGGTAGAAGCAAATTGCTTAGTTATTTAGTGTGCAAGCTTAGTTTAAGAGAAAGATTTTGTTTGGAATTAGCTGTGTCATTGTCGTTATGTAAAAATCATATGATATGGATTAATCTAGAAATGATGCAGTCCAAAAACAATTATTACAAACAACTGATATTTTTAGAATGGAGAGAGCAAATACTGAAACTTAAATGAAGAATGAAAGGACTATTGCTGTCTTAATTTATAATTTTGCTTTACCAGTTTTTTTATTTTACATGTATGTATTTGTATTATTTATTATCTTCTTGTCGTTAAGCTCAAACATAGTAAAAAAGAATAAATTAAATGGCATTAAGTCATTTTGCCATAAACACTCGAAGATGATATTTAAGAGTAGTGCTGTGTTACCTTCGTGCTACACAGTTCGACCTGTATAGTTGATTAGGATTCAAAGATAAATATTTTACATTTTGCCGAAAGACAAAAGTCTGGTGCGCTGGAAATAAAAATGTTCTGTTTCAAGCATTATTGCCACTGCTTTCTTTCAAATCGCTCAGCATATTTGTAGGATTCTTACCTTAACTAGATATTAAGATTTTGAACTTTACTTAACTTCTTCTTTCTGTATTCCTCACTAGAGTACAAATTAGTTTTAAGTGTATTTAAGCTGGGAAGCTCTTCGACCTTAGTCGGAGAGAGAGAGTTTCTGGTACTCGCGTAGCATTTTTAGATTCTGTTAGTTCTGTCTAAATGTAGTTATCCCAGCTTCTTTGCCCACCAGCGACCGAGCGGTAAAGTCGCTGAACACTGGTAGTTTCGTTCCCGAGGTTCGAATTCGAATCCCCGCGAAAGGGGCTGGCTGCAGGCGTTTTCGTGGTTTTTCCCCATTTTTAGCGGTATACGAGTCAGTTTCCTCCTAGAAGTTCTCCACGAAGGCATCCCTCCCCTTAGCAGATACCCTAGTGTACTTTCCATAATTAAATACCCAAACCAACCCCCCCCCCCAAACCAACCCCAGCTCTTTCAGGTAAATTAAATAAACCAAACCAAACCAAACCCAGCTTCTTCATTGTCTAGGCAGATAGCCCTCGTGTGCTTTGCCGTAACCAAATAAACCCACACCCTCTTCATTCTCTTTCAGCCGATACTTTTAAACTTGCACACTGGTAAATTATTGGAGCTTAGTACTTGACTGTATGGTCTTACACTATTTTAAGAAGTCTGTTAAGAAGTCTGCCTTACACTGTTTAAATGTCTTTTATTGATTATTGTACATCGCCACAAATAGTGGTAGTACCACTATTTGGGATGATACGCCTCAAGTGGCACGAGTTGTGCCTGTTGAAAGTCATTTTAATAAAAGTGTTGTTTAAAAACTTTCGTAAATGTTAGTCATACTATTTCATGTATTTCAGACATAGAGATAACTCGCTATCTGTCTATTAAGGTTGTAAGACTATAACTTATAGAGACCCAACCTTTTAGGTAGCATTCTCTAAGTCAAGACTCTTGTAGACTTCAAGCGAATGATCGCCATGTCTAGATAAACGATAGAACTCAGGGAAGGTGTAAAAGAATCCTTTTATTAATAACTCGAATAAGTGAACAGAAAGCACTTTCTGTGCATACAGAAACGGCCAGCATTTATGGCACAACTCAAGTAGAAAATTTCAAATTAAGACTAAGTTAAATCTTAACCAAAATGCTACGCAGAAATACTTAACCCACAAACTGGTTCAAACCTATTCCGGCCTGAAAGGCACTATCGCAAAGAATAAATCAACGACGAAGAGAGAATGCTTTTAATTGTAGAATTTCAACTTGTAACATGGCCTTTAGCAGGCACAGCATGCTCTGACTAAACATTTAAAAACCTTCCTTTAAGCATTACCTCTTCCTACCTCATTTCAATACACTTAAGCTAAAATTTGCATTTTGGGGGCAGGAAAGCGGAAAGGAAGAAATGACAGTTAAGATACTGAACATAAAATAAGTGGTTAGATAAGCTAAATATCTCACAAACTCTAGTATAAAGCTAAATACCCATATATATTAATAAAAAGTTCATAAAATTCGTACAAATATGTATGAAATAAATAAAAAAAATTCGAAACTCAAAACTCAAAATCCAAATTCGAAGCACACATGTTTTGGTGAAAGACTACGTGTATTCAAAATTTAGTGACTGTAGGTGTCGCCATTTTCCACAGTGCGAGAAACAAACATACATACTATGTACATACAGAGCCTCGTTCACTTTCGTATAACGCTTGCAAACATTAGAGTATAATTATTAATACAAAAAATAACAGGAAGAAATATTGTAGCGAGCTTGCTAAAAAGTTACCAGGTGCTGTAGCTCCATGAAATAGTTCAACGCAGTATTTTTAAAATATTAACATAGAAGTAATTTTTAAAAAAATATTAACAGGCAAAATAAAAAACACTTACACGAAATAACTGTAAATCAATGTTGGAAACTTGAATGCACAAATAAACAATCGATCTTGTGATATTGAAAGTTAATACATTAAACAATCGCGGAACAATTAAAACAATAAAAAAATTAAAACATGAATTGCAATACAAAATTATAAATTCAAAGCGGAAAATGGCAATTACCCATTGGACTCCAACCAGCTTTTCACGGGAAATATTTGGAATGTCGAACTAGGCAACACCATTACGCGTTTTCGCCGAACCGAAATTGAATTTTGGTTTGACGAAAAAATTTTAAATAATGTGGAAATTTTTTTGGAGTCTTTTTCTCTGTTCCAATTTCCCGAGCGTCGCAAAAACCCTTAAGGTGAGAAAAAAATCAACATCCCGACAAACAAATTAAAATCAAAATAAAAAATAGCGTCTGCTATTAGTCAAAATTACAATAACGTACAGGCTGGTCCTGCTAGCTTAAAGAAGAATAAGTGTGTGTGTATTTAATTATGGCCAAGCTCGCTGGCTATCGCCTAAAGGGAGGGATGCCTTCGTGGAGCTTTCTAGGAAACGCCGTAACACGTTACACATGGGGAAAACCCACAGAAAACCCATGCGCCAGCCCGTTCGCGGATTTAAAAAGATAAAACCTTATAACGATTATGGTACCGAAATTAAATTAAAATGAAATTCAATTCTAATGCAAACAAACGCCGTGGGTCTTGCTAGGACCAAGAAAAAGATTTTAAGAAACACAAAAAAAAAAAAAAAACATAAAACAAAATGTTTCTAATTCAAAATTTCATTTTATGAACTGTTCATAACATTTCCGGAAATTATTTGACCGAATCTAAACACTTGGAGAGCGTCCCTCATGCACTGGATGAGAACACGCAAACTCAAAATTTTAAATTAGACAAAAACGTAATCTTAGCTTGGTTTCGGCGGAATTTTTGAACTGGGACCTGTGTCTAACCATCTTCAAAATCAATAGAGTTATTTACAGTTATGAGTTAAGGTGACTTTTTATGCCTAATTTTAAATTGTTGACTAAGATCGAGAAACGAGCTGTTTGGTGACATAATTCCTTTAATTGGCGACATTTTTCTGTCGGTTGTCAATTTTTACGATCTATTTTGACCTTAATCAATGAGTTTACTTAAATAAAGAAAATGCTTCGATAGTATTTTGATTATATTAACCGACTTATTCTTCCCACTAAGAGATGTATTTTTCATGTTTTCGTATACAAATAGGTGGGACTTCGGTAGTCCTATAACAGCATCTAGAATACATTAAAGGGCGTCTACTGTATTTAATAATGAAGATTTAGGGAAAAAAAATGAAGCAAAAGTCACCACAGGTTCGGTAACAATGATATCGCTTTTTGTTTCAGTTAAATGATTCACCATCGCAAAATAATGATTTGCTAAGTATATCAAAAAAGAAAATCGTTATTGCCCCTTGAATAGCATTTATTGTTGCAACCCTGCGCGTGCTGATTGGTATTATTGTTTCTACATTCATTTTTACTTTCACTTTTATATCTAGTTTATATACTTCTCGTCATGCATACCCAATCCACAAACAAACTTGCGTAATATTTGTGGTGCATTTAAGGTCTCGTCAAAATAATAATTAATTTAATGATGCTTTTTCACTTTGCGTACTTTAGCTATTTAATCCACTAGCCGCGTAAAACAGTTATTATAAAAAATATATAACGATTTTAATGAGCTCAGCTAATGGAATTTCCGAGTCCAGCTAGTTCTTAATAATAATGAAAATGAATCTGTATTTATTGCTTTTAATTTGCTTAGTTTGTTAATTAATTAACATTAAAAAGAGAATATTATCAAGCTTTATTGAACTACCACACACCTGTCGCGCTTCGAAGATAAAAATAATTTAATTAGAGCAATGTAAACACTTTTCGTTCAAATCGCCGAGTTAATGGCCTAAATTTGAAAAACAAATATATTACTTTTTACCGACCCATTTCTTTTA